TAATCCACCAAAAGCAAATTCATGGCAGCAAGTGTGGGAACCCCTCAACACTTTATATTCAACATCGAGCAAACTCAGGTTGGGTTTCGTTCCTACACTTTGCAAGTCAGCGCAACATTCCTGCACATCGGCATGAAGGGTGCAAACTGAGGCCAAAATGAAGAGCAAGGTGACGAACCCATATATGGTACGAAAGCATGTTTTGGGAAACGATTGAGCACGGCCATAGTTCGCTAGTCAATGCCTAGGTCTCTTGGCATCTGCTTCGATCCCTGCATCTTTGTTGGCACTCAGGGTGGTCTGCAACTCACTCTGCATCTTCTGAAAGAGGTTTTGCATCTGACTCATGATGGTGTTGTTGCCTTCTGATATGTCACTTCTGATATTGGTGAATTCAGCTTTGGTATCAGTTTTGAGCTCATCGACTGCTGATTGAATCTCCTGGACCTCTGCTTGCACATGTTCAACTGATGTCGAGAGCGCATCAACACGCATGTCACACTCCCGCATGCGGTCTTGGATCATGGCAGTGATTCGATCCTCAAGATCTGCTTTCAAATCCGCTTTGATATTGTCAATGCGTGAAGTGACAGTTGACTGGGTCGTTGTATCACCAATTGATTCTTCTGGGCACATGCTTGGGCAAAAATTGGCTCCCGCCTGGGCAACTGACACTGGCATGTCGACTGCTTTGGGACCATTCTGACTCCTTGCAGGAGTAACAGCAACATAATCACTTCCAATGCAAAGGTGTGTTGCAGGGGGCTCATCTGCTGAACATACCACCCAAGTGTTCTTCCCATTTGGCCGAATGGCGTTTGCATCCCATCCTAGTTCCCGCAGCGCTGCAGTGACCGCATCACAAGTAGTGGAGGCATTGAGGTTGCGCAAGATCCACCATGATGCTCCAGCAGGGATTTCACCTTCCTGCAATGAAATTCCTTGAGGCAGTGCATTGCGTCGAATCTCCTGGATGTGCTCGCGCTTCGCTCTCAGAGCAAAAACACCATTCTGTCCCATCTGAACAACACCCAAGACATTTTTCAGAGTCTTGGCCAGCTTGACCACTTCCTCAAGAGACTGACCATGCATGGGCACAATTCCAAAACGAGGGTCTGGCTTTTTGTTTTCGGCTTTCACTTGGAGAAACACCCCTGCCTGTCCAGAACGAATGAGGGTTGGTTGAAGGACGTCCTCTGGAATTTTCACAAACCCATGAACATACTGGGCATTTTCATGCTTGCACTTCTGTCGGTTATCATCGTAAGACCTGAAGTTCCAAGACGCAATGACTTGACCTTTGCGAATTTCAGGTAACTGCAAGCCTAAATAGTTCAGTGGGTTCTGAACATCTTGCCATTGGTTGACTAAGTTCTTCATGATGAAAACTTCCAGGGTAGCAGTTGGGGTCTCAAGGAGATCAACCTTCGGCAGATTTGGTTTGCAATGGACTTCAATGTCACCAAAGTTCAACACCACAGCTGACGTGAGAATCGGCCGACCAGTAATTTCCGTGGCTGGTAATGCAATTGGCACTTGACCTGCAAAGACATCCTTTGTCAAAACAACCAGTGCAAGGGCCTCAGGGGAAATCTTATCCACAGGCATCATCTTATTGGCTTCAGCCGTCGTTGCAATGGCGATGCCACACTGATCTGGGCCCCACTGCGCCAAGTCAATGATGTTGATCTTGCCTGAATCACATTGGAAGTGCTTGGGGTCAATGAAAACTTTCTTCAATGGTTCATCGCTCGATGATGCAGGCTTGTCCTTTCTTCCAATCTTGGCAGGCTTTCCAGGGAGTGATCCTTCTGACGCCATTTTCCTTTGTTTTTTCTGATGCTCCTTGAGTTCGGAGTTCGTGATCATACGGATCTTCGCCTTGTTGGCTTTGGTCTTGAGTTCATCCCATGCAGATCGTTCATCTTTCGTCAGGATGGTGGTGAGCTCATTTGCATCAATTGTACCTACCAGCAAAGCAGCACGTGCTGCCACTGCTTCTTCCGGGACTCCTTTCTGGCCAAGGATTACTTGAAGTTTCTTGGCATTGGCTTCATTAACCTTGGTTGATCCCTTGGCTCCTCCAGGCAATGCACATGCTCTGAACTCGATAGTGGCATCAGCGGCAACCTGATGAACAAGCAATCTTGGATCAATACCTTTCCCGTTTTGCATGACCGGGAGCGTCAGGTCGTTCTTAGCATCGGCAAGGAATCTGGCAGCGATTTGCAAAAGTGTTTCATTTTTCGGCAACTTCCTGTGATTGGCACGAAAGTCAAAAGGTCCTTTGACCCAGGTTTGCAGGCACGGCAACTCATTCACAGAAAAGGCACTTTTGATCGCAAATTTGGTGATAACCACTTCCGCCGGAGGCCATGGCTTGGCAGTAGGAAACCAAATGTCAATTCCACCATCAGGAAGTTGGCCAACTGTGGTGGTTGGGTCAATCAATTGGCACATGTTGGGGATTGCATTCTCAAGAAAGTCAGGTAGCAGGTGTTCAATGACCTGTCCTACTAGTTCATCTTTGAGAGCAGCACATGAACGAATGGTACCCCATTTTGGGTTTCGGATGGTGAACCTCACAACCCCCGGATGGAAAAGGGTGCTTTCATCTGTATGGACTGCTTCACTGACCTGGATGACACTGGGCTCTTCCAGTTGTCGTGGAATTCCAATCTCATTGGTGACGGCCACTGCTTTGAAGTGGAGCTCCGATGTGGCAAGGACGAACTCACTCGACATCATGACCCTACCATCCACAACAATCTTCAAACAAGTTGGCAAGATTGCAGCTTCAGTTGCCACATAGGCACACAAATCAGCAAATTTCCAGGTGACATCAACCTCAATTGCAAGCCCCAACTCCATGAAACTGGTGACAACCGTTCGAGCAAAGCAAAAGGGCTTGAAGAAAATATTCAACCTGGATTCACCAATCGGGGTTGACCCGAACCAGGCTTTGGCACCATTCACCTCAATATGATCAAAGTGTTCCTGTCTGGCATGTGGGAGCGCTGACTGCAGTATGTCTTTGATGGACCACATTTTGGGGATGATGAAAGCTGCAACCCAGAAGCCCTGCGAATGCATGATTCTGACAACAACCTGTCCTTCCGCAGATGCGTGAAGGTCCGTACCTATCTGATGAAAGAAAGGCATGCCAATTGGAACAGTTCGAGTTCCAACCGTTGTCGATGCAAGGTCCGGACATTCATTCCTGTTGAGTTCTGGGATCAGCGTTGGCTCTTCATGATCAATGCACTGCCATGTTGGAGAAATACATGGTCGCTTGGCCAACTCATCTTCATTCCCATCAACATCTTCATCATCACTTGAATCAATCACTGTTGTTGGCATGTTGCAAATTGTTTGGCGTTTCAACTGCAATCGCATGATTCCATCAGCATGGATCACATCATAGTCCCCCAAATTGCACTTCATTTGCAAAACAAGTTGGCACAATTCCTGCACGCTCTTGACATCACCTGCGAAGCCTGACATTTCACCTAAGAGCACCCTGGCACGGAAACATTGCAAGGCTGCATGTGGCACAGCAAGTGCATTACCTACCATGTGCCATGCATCTTGAAATGAGTCAGGTAGAGCAGTCGTGGCAGGAAAGCCCATTGCAGAGCAAATCTCAAACGGCATGGCAAACCTGAGGCATCCATTGACCTCTACTAAGAAGGAGTACAATCCCTTCTTTTCCAACAGGTCCGGAGGCAATATGTGTTGAGACCCTTGGGCAGCCATCACGTTGGGCAAGGGCTGACGAACATCCTTAATTCTCATTTTGAGCACATCCGTTCCCGAAAGCTTCTTGTATTCTCCGGTGCGCATGTTCAATGGCAGGAACTCCGGCTTGGACAGAATATTGAGCACGGATGCATCTGGGACACATTGGGGAATCTCCCACGACTGCAGGACCGACTGGACACAACCAAATGACACAATGGAATTAGTATCACCTACACCTGGAACAGACCTAGGGAATGCAATTGACTGGGCCATGGACAACTTGGCTGCAGTGTAATGTACATCTTTTCGGATGCAGGTTGCTAACCATCTGACTCGCATAATTGGCAAGAGTGGCATGGCTCTGTCCTTAGAAGACAGCACAACATCAAAACCTGCAAGATCGATCACTCTGCGAAGATCACGGTAATGTGGGTGATCAGGAAGTCCTGGAACATTCTCTAAGTTGAGGATCCTGACACGTGAGACTCCTGCCCACATCACAAAAATGGCAAATGATTCTCCATCTTCATCATCAAGGCCTCTTTGCCATGAAGCCTTACTCCACGGTTGGCATGGTGGCGATGCAAGCCACGTGTTAATTCCTATCAGTCCACTCACCACGTACACTCTTGGATCACGAATGTCGGCCAACAAGACAAATGAACTGGGAAGTGAATTGTGCTTGATTCGATCAAGGGCCTCATTGATACTGAGCACACACGTGTTGTGATTTTCAGCGCACCTATGTGCAACTTTGGGATCACTTTCAACCATAAGGGATACAGCTCCCCCCATCATTTTTGCTCCCAAAGTCCATCCCCCCAGTCCAGCAAACACTTCACCGATAGAAGTAGCCTGGGATCCTGGATGGATAATTGGCAGGAGATCTCTCTCCTTCGACTTCACTGACACCACATCGTTCTCACCATGAGTGATGAAATTGGATACTGTGAAAACCATGTCACTTCGCATGTGTGCAAACATCCAAGTAGGCACAAAACAGTGAAAAGTCATGAAATGAAACACTGGATGTGCAGGGGATGCAACGATGAACTCCTCTTCGAACTTCACGACTTTCAAATCCAGTTTCAGACCACGAAAGAAGGCATCCATGGCAGAAATGGACAGTCCACATGGGTCAATATGGGTAAGATCATACATATTGCCCAATCGGTTGATGGATAGAATATTTCCACATAGCCGTGGTCCCCAAGGGCCTTAAATATCAGCAGTATCCATCCCAGCAGTCACCCAGCTACGCGCCGGCATATCGGCGTAGCCGATGATGGTCACACCATTGGGCGTCGTCACGATCTCGTTCAGCTTGGTCAACTCGCAGTTGCCTCCGCCCTGCGCTGCCAGGTCCACAATCACCTAGATGGCAAGGGGAATCCCCAGGGAAAAGGGAGAAAAAATGGGAAGTTCGCCAACATGAAATGGTGATTTGATCAATTCTGGAATGATGGAATTATGGAACCTACAAAAGAAGTCAGGGTTCCCTGCGACATATAGGTCCATATCATTTTTTGTGGATTAAATTATCTTTGTTGTTGGTTAGAATCCTCCAAAAAAAAAACTTCCCAAACGATCCCTATTCTAATCATAATTTTCTCTATCAACACCGCCACAAAAATGGGCCACTCCCCCATTTTCAGATACCAAACCCATCCCATATTGGTAACCGATTTCAAGTATGTTTCAAAAATTTTCAAAACATATGTTTTCCCCATGTAAATGGTCATGTTTACAGTAGTAGGGCAGTTCGAATTTCATGCCTTAAACCTCATTTTCCCATGATCATCCATGACCTATACATCCTATACCTCCAAATCAACCGTGGCTGGAAAATCCTCAAAAATGGAAAGAAACCGAGCTGGGAACATCCTCCATCATCCAACTAAATGATACAATGTGTCCCATTATATAGTCTCAAATTTATGCTTTAAAACCTCAATCCATTCCATGTTCCCATCCATTTTCCCCATCCAATTTCCCTAGGATTTTCCAAAATCTCCCCATCCATCGGCCATGTTCCCATTCATTTTCCCCCTGAAGTCATGGCAATTTTCCCATCACTGTCCTCTCAAAATCACCATTTCAAGTCAGCTTCAAAAACCTCTCCATCCAGCAATTCCCATCTCAAAATCTCCCATGTTTTCCCCCATTTTCCCCATGGTTCCCATTGGGCCAGGGCGCGCTGCCGGGTTTCATCCCACTGACGGCCTCCTTGGTGATCAGCAGCGGCGATGGACGACCTGGGATGGCCGCGGTGCTGATGGCAATATCCACCTCGGCCAGGACCTTCCTGCACCGCGAATTTTACGTGGCGTTTTAAGGGTGGAAAATGTCCGGGAAGAACGGGGAAAAATCTGGAAAATGGGGGAAGAACATGGGAAAGGTTGGATTTTGGAAAAGAAAACTGATTTGTTAGCAGATGTTTTTGGGGAAACCACGGAAAAACTATGGTGTTTAAGCATTGAAAGTGTGGACTTAATGATATTGAATCAGGAAAAAGATGGGTTCAAACAAAGAAAAGGAAATAGCAAAAACATGCAAAAACGGTGGAAGCAGCTCACCAAACAAATCTAAAGTTAGTGAGAAAAGTGTGAGTTTTTTGGTTGACTTTAAAGCCAGAAACAAGGAAGTAGGGAAGTAAACATAATTTGCGTCGTAACACTTCGGCCTCCAAATATGGACATGCGAATGATTGGCGACTTGAAATTGGATACTCTTTCACTGCCATGCTTTTTGGCCGGAGGGTATAACCAACAAAAGAGAAATACGGTGTTTCAAGTCTGCAAGTCACAAGAATCGGAATTCACCAACGAAAATTCGGCTGGGTCAAAATGGAAAATTCAGTTGCAAAACTGGTCGCCTCTGTGTGTACAGCGACTCGACCCATACAAGCTCATTGTCGCTTCTCGTTTCATCTCACCATTTTTTCTGGCTGAAAAGGGGGCAAGAAGTTTGACCCAGGTGCCAAGGTTCCAAGGTTCCAGCACTCCGGTTCCGGAACCCGGTTTTTGGGGCTCCGCTTAAAATTCATGACGCACCACTCAAAAAGACCCAGAGATATAGTTCAAGCCAATAGTCTTCAAATCTGTAATTTCCATTTCAAATACGCAACCAAATCACCATCAACCATGGAAAATCACTCATTTATATCACAATTTAAATCACCAATTTCCTTTAATGACTCATTTAATCACCATTTAATCATCATCTATATCACCAATTTTCCATAATTTCTCATTTATATAAATATATAACTTAATCATTTAAATCACCAATTTTCCATGGTTGATGGTGATTTTCCATGGTTGATTAGTCTTCATGATTCTGAAGAAATCATCATTTAATCACCATTTAAATCACCAATTTTCCATAATGTTCCATCATTTATAACCATCAAATCACCATTTTTCCATTTATGATAATTTTCCATAATAGACCCTGGCAACATTAAGACAAAAAAAAGGAAGTCTTAACTGTCTTAACATAGACTGCGTCCGAGCATTTGCTCAAAACGGGGGTTTTCGTCAAAAGGTAGGAGAGTATAACCAATTTTCCATTTGATCATGAAGAAATCACCATGAAATGTTCGGTCCTGAAGGTCTCCTGCTGAACCCTCTTGAAGGCATCGGAACTTTCTTTGGCGTAGCCACCCTGACCCTCACCGCTCTCCTGCGATGGGCTAACCCAGGAGAGCTGCGGTAACCCGGAGATCACCAGAATCCTCCAGGACCCGATCAAACCTGGAAAACACCCAACGAAAACCAACAACCCAGCTATACCAAGGCTCTCCAAAAATCACCTGCACAAGCATAGTCCATGACCTATCATTAAAAAACACATGTGAATTCATCCATAGAAATCCACCAGGATGTCCGAATATCCAGCATTAAGTACCAAAAAAAAACAGTTCCCCTCCAGTTCCGAACATCGAAAAACTGGAGATAAAATCCACCAGAAATGTTGATCATGTCCTTTTTGGGACACCCATGGAGAACTTTGACAGCTACCCTCTGGTAAACTAACAGTTTGCTATGGAAAATGGCCCATAGAAATAGATGGTTTACCTATTAATAGAATGGTGATTTTCTATAGCTATGTTAGTCATTACCAGAGGGTTCATTCCCTTTTTGGGTGAAATCCTCATGAAATCCCACGAAACCACCATCTGTTGTCCAATTTTGGTACTTAAAACTTCATGAAAAAACAAAACATCAAAGGTGGCACTGGAAAATCCTCCATTGATCGAAACCCCCATGGCTAGTTTTTGGGGATTTCCGAGCCAGCCATGTTTGATTGCCAGATTCTATTGCAGAAACTAATATTTCATTAATTATTCCATTAAGATCCCATAAACATCCCGTTAATATTCTATTCATGTTCCACTCATATCATATCCATTCGCCCATTATAATCCCATAAAACCACCATCATATGTTTTCCAGTTTGAGGTGATCAAAATTCCACTCAAATCCAAAGAATCCCATGGATTTTTTCTAGTCCTTATACCCCTGTAATCAAACATGATGGAAAATCCGCCATTTACGCCACGTTGATTTTCGCTACCTAACCTGTTGGGGGATTTCCAGTTGCCACCTTTGATGCCCAAAGGTATCCCTCCAGTAAACGTTTACATAGATATGGAAGCCATGAACCATTGACTTCGATGAACCTATCTAAAAAAATGGTGGATGTTCCCACATGTTAGTCATTACCAGAGGGTAAATCACCATCAAATCACCATCAAAATAGTGGTTTTGCATCCCATGAAAATCATGTTAAATCCCCATTTATTTAACGATGATTTACCTATCAAAAAATGGTGGATTTTCCATATGTAAAGGTCATTACCAGAGGCTTCATCTCTCAATCCCAGGTCTGCACCCTTTCCCCCCACGGGGTGCCCCCGGCACCTTGAAATCCACCGTGACCCACTTGGCTCCCATGGAATGCACTTGATCCGACACGTCGCGCACATCCCAGGCGCGCACCACCTGAGAGATGGGGGGCCTTTTTTTGAACTGGAAAATGCTGGAAAATGCTGGAAAAATGGTGGAAAATGATGGAACATGAGTGCAAAATTTTGGAAAAATGGTGGAAAAATGATTGCAACATGGTGGGAAAATGGAGAAATAGTGGGTATAACTCCACCAAAAATGCTGGAGAAAAAATGATCAACAGGGGACCAAATAGATCATCCAGGGAGAAAAGCCAAGCGATCTTGGTGCTTTCACATGTCAAGAAACCCCCCCATCCGTCAAAGTCGTGGGTTGGAAGGTTCAGTAGAGATACAGTAGAGCTGATCATCTTCCAGAGGTAAACCAACCAGCTATATCCAATGGTGGTGAATATCTGAACAGAGCCAATGGATTATTATTCAATAGGTATATAAACCATGTTTAAAAATGTCGGTGAATCACCATCAAATTCCAATTGTACCAGTTGCCATGGAAAGTTCCCATGCGAAAAAAAGGGGGGGCCATGGCTTCCAGTTCGCAAACTGAAAAATCACCGAAATGTCGACTCCAAAGTTTCCCGGCGAGTTGGTGGCGAACTTCAGATGATATCATGGTAAACCACCAAAATCTGGTTATGTAAACTCAAAATGTGGGTTCTTGAGCTGGATCATTTCAATCCATCTTTTCTTGCTAGATCAACTTCAACTCGATCCCTCAGTCGCTGATCCGAGGAGCCGAACCCATGGCCTTTGAGGTTCCGATGGCTGCCAGACCGGCCACACCGCAGCCCAAGACGAAGGTCTGGGAGGGTGGATATTTGCCTCGCGAGATGACGACCGAGATGATGACCGATGGCTGAAAAAAGAATCCTATTTTATGGTAAAACTTCAGGAGAATAGGTAAACGTTTCCAGTTTGCGAACTGGAAAATCATCATTTTAATCGGTAAATCGACTATAAATGGGGATATAGTGGGATTATCATAGGAATATATAGGTATATAATAACCAATATCAACAATGTGGGGCCCCCGTTGGATAGCCTTCAGTTTTTTCTAAAATAACGAGTGGCTGAAAAAAAAATATCTGGTTTATATGGTAGATATAACGAACTACAGTAGTTTTCATGGGCTTTATAAACCTACCCTCTGGTAACTGAGTTCGCTGAAACATCGAACTGATCCATGGCTTCCATAGCTATGGTTGATCACCATCTGATGGGGATCCGAAAACTTCCATCATTTTGGGTGGCTTTTCTTGGCCATGATTCATGAGGGATTCACGGGAAAGCCATCCAATTTTTTTTCAGGATCTTAACAGACAATTGGAGAATTCATGGGGAAATTCTTTGGAGATCGTCAGATGGCCACATCATAGTTAGGACTGGTTTTTTTTCCATATGTTGTTCCTATAGGAATATATATATATGTGTGACATCGGCACAGGATTAGTGGTGATGCTGAACAGGCAGATCATGTAATGTCAGAATTCATTTGGCACAGTTCCATGATCAATGGTGGAACCATGATGCCAGACTATCAGCCTGTCTAACTTTGATAGGACTGTGCATGGAGCCGGCACGAGAAAGATCTCAGCAGCCAAAAAAAAAATGTGTGACATATATACATATATATATACATATAACATACATATAACATACATACATATATATATATTTTAATACCCCAATATATCCCATATAAATCCCATATAAATCCCATATAAATCCCATATAAATCCCATATATGTCTTTTCCAAGTTATGTCTTTTCCCATCTAAATCCCCATCTAAATCGCTGCTTCCACCAGGACTTCGCACCTGCCGCGGTCATCTCAGCGGTGTGGAAGCGACCAAAGGCGTAGGAGGCTTCGATGACGGCGCGATGGCCTGTGCCAAGGATCAAGGTGGTGCCCCATAGTTAGCTAAGTTGGTTTATTACTTCTCATAACTATGGTTTATGGCAGATATTACTATACTATTCATGGGGTTTGTAAACCAACGTTCACATCACTGGGGGGCACCATCCTGTTTAGGAATTAATGATAGTACATCCTATATGGGATTTCCCATCAGATATAAATATAGTTCTCATAATGATATATCTCACATGATTTAATGGGATATCCCAACAATCGACAAACGTGATGCTTACCCTGCGGTGTTTTTTCACAGTTTGCTACGGCAGCCATGGTCCACCTGGTTCGATTTTCTCTGGTAATGATTGGGTTTGTTGCTGTTGTGACTATGAGTTTTCATATTATTAGGTTCATTATCATTGATCTTATTAGGATAGTTGCTTTATGAGTGTTGCAGCTATTGGGGGATATTGTTGTTGTTGGGATTGTATAGTTATAGTTGGTCCGAGTATGATATCAAACCTATATAGTAGGCGTGTGCATGGGTCAGTCTCCAATAGCCGTACTGCGCTACGCAATGTTCTTGACATTGAACATGAGGCGGTTCAGAAGAAGAAGATACATAACAGTAGTTGTGTGTGTGTATAGATATGTGATATTGAGCTGTTGGCATAGTTTTTTTTCGTTGGTTACATACAGCTATTGGGATTATATAAGCATCACTCGCTCTTGTCTGTGCCAAGTTGTCGTTCCGTTGTTTGAAAACAAAATTTGGATTAACATTATTAAACCATTGTTATTGGGAGTCTTATAGAGAAGATGAGCATAGTTCTTATAAACAACTTATAAACATATTGCTATCATGGGGACTCTATATAGTTGAATGGGACAGAAACATTGGGATTATTATTCTTCTATCACTGTTACTGGGAGTGTTATAGTTGTCGGGATGATATGAATGATTTCCCTATTCGAAGAAAAGTGGTTTAACCAATTAAATATGCTTTTGATGGGTATGAAAAATAGGGATTTAACATGATTTAACCAGTTTAACCAATGAATATGGGTGTGACTCAAAATTTGGTGGGAAATAATAAGAAATAATGCTTGAGAACCTCATTTTCCCGTTCCTCCTGGCAGTTTAGGGGCCCAAACTGCCCCAACATTGGTGGGATTTCATCACCACCCTTTTCGAGGGAAATGTTGTCATTGTCATGGCATTTTCGAGGGAAACCTGGAAAATGATAGTTGGTTGATACCCTCTGGTAATTTAACATAGCTATTGAAAATGGCCAGTTGTAGTGGATTTTCCCATTAATAGCATGGTGATTTTCCATAGTTATGTAAACGGTTACCAGAGGGTAAACATGGTTGCCCTCCAGTACTCCAAGCTGGTATGCTGGGGGCAGACTTTCCACCGAGTACATCATCTATATAATCGGAACCTTTCCTTGCCAGCAACTGACTTTTTTGAGAAAACCAAAATGTGGTGTCATCAAACGTGGTGAAGTGGAAATTCCCAGTTACAACCTTCATGAATAGATACAGTATTTGTTTCCGATCACCTCCAGTTCTAGATGATTTTCGCTCAGCCGTCCGGGGCCATGGCTCGGCCACATCCATGTATCGAGAGGGTCAAAACAATATGGGGTTACCAACAGGACCACAGGACCGGCACCTGCACACTTGGCCTGCGAACTCAAAACATCCAACTTTTGCCTCAGATCCGAAGGGTTTCTGCTGGGTCAACTTTTCGTAGTTTAGAGGTTGTTGAATCCTCATGTTCATCAGAAATGTCGATATTCTGTTGATACATCCAGAATTTTCTTAGTTATGACTGTAATATTCATATATATATATACTATATATATATGATATATATATATATGTGATATATATATATATGATCTATGTATATACATATATATATATCCACAGTTTCAAAAAAGTCCATGTTCAGCTGACAGCATCGTCTCTTCCGACTGGCATGGCCTTGTACATCTAAATCATGGAATCGAAGCCGCTGACGCCGAAATCCAATTGGTTGAATCAAAGAAAAATGCGGAATCAACGATCAAAAATGCATAAAAATGCCATATGGGTATGGGTCAATACCTATAGATACATTTTTAGTGGGATGAACATCCATTTACCAGCTATTTTGGGGTTCACTAGGTACCAGGGTTCTGACCCATCCCCATATGTTTACCAACCAAAGATGGAGTTTCAACCAGAAATTGCTTCATTGCTTAATCTTCAAGATCCGCACCAAATGTCTCATCTTTCCATATCTGGACACATGATTTCCAGCTTTTTGGGACACTGGAGTTCCAACCAGTGCCGAGCCACGCGATGGTGATCCGCGGCACTGCGGTGACGTCGATGAGCATCACACCCGCGCTCTTGGCTTTCTCGCAGACGGCCTGGCTTTTTGGAGATGGAGGAAATGGGATAAGCGGATAAGCTGTTAATGGGACCTGGGATATCACTGGGATAACCTACTGTTTTTGTTGTCATAGTTTAGGTGGATTTTTATAGTGGTATATGTTCTACGACCCCTATCACAGAAAAAAACATCCCAGTTATATTCCACAAAAAATGGGATTCCACTGTTTATAGATGGTAAGTGGAATATAACTGGGATGTAAAGTGGGATTATATAATTGTTTATTATACTGGGATTGCAATTTGTTAGTGACTGGTGAGTAACTGGTTAATATGGAAAACGATCATGGCACCAAAAATAGATGTCTGGGATGTTAACCATTGAAGGACGGAGATTTGACCTGGCACCAAAGTAGAAATTGGGACAGACGGGTGATCATCATCCGTCTATCCATAGCTTCTGTTTGTTCAGAAATATGTAAATTTCAGATGGCACACAAAATAGCCAGCAGTTCAATGATGTTATAAAAACTATGAAACCCCAACCTCAACTTTCAGGTGTGTAAAATTGTCAAATTTCATCAACTCCAGCAGAAAACAAATGGCATTGGTTGAACGGTCCTTGGCTTTGCTCTTGTTTCTTGTGTCTTGGGATTGGGGCCCCATTCCAGTCCGTTTCTTCGGAAGTACACCCCTGTTCTACATCCTTTGGCTGGTCGCCGAAGTCTGCGCTTAAGCACTAAATTCTTGAAGACATATGGGGGGTTCCATAAATGGGGGTGCCCACAGATGGATGGTTTATAATGGAGAATCCTATTAGCATGGATGATTTAGGGTAACCCCATTTTAGGAAACCTCCATAAGCCTTTTTGCTGCAGAATTAGGATTTTGTTGGGCGCATCACCCAAGTTGTGTTGGTATCAACTTACCCTCTGGCAATCAAACACGGCAATAGAAAGTTACAATTCTGAACGAGATAGTCAATTAGAAATCGTTATATACAATTTGGGGCTTTCCATTGCCAGGGTAGATCACCGGAGGGCATCTCCGGCTGCTTCCCTTTGCCAGTCATTCTCGTGAGGGAAATTATAAAAAAAATCCTACGCTGGAAACGGGCAATTTTTGGGACTATAATTTGCCCAACGTTGGTGATGGTGGTAAACCATGGTAAACCATAACATTTCCCGTGGGCAGATCACGTTTTTCCAACTAAATCCCTAGCTTTATTCGGGAAATACCCACTCTTACTCATTGCCTGCATTGTTGACCACTCTTCATTTGCAAAAGGTATAATCTCGATGTTATCCAATGTTGTTCAATTATAGCAAGTCTGTTTTCTATTAGATTAGATTCCCCATCTTCATTTCAATTCCCTAATTTTTATTGCCTAAATAACCACTTCTTTGCACTAAATAACTTGGTTGCATGGCCAATGTTTGCTGGTGAAGACACCGTTTTTCTTCAGTTGTCACTGCCGAATCCACCGACAACCCAGCGACAACCCACAG